CTGTCTGATCGATGTTTATAAACAATGTTACTTTGTATCTCTCCATCTCCCGTCTGATCGATGTTTATAAACAATGTTACTTTGTATCTCTCCATCTCCCGTCTGATCGATGTTTATAAACAATGTTACTTTGTATCTCTCCATCTCCCGTCTGATCGATGTTTATAAACAATGTTACTTTGTATCTCTCCATCTCCCGTCTGATCGATGTTTATAAACAATGTTACTTTGTATCTCTCTATCTCCCGTCTCATCGATCTTTATAAACAATGTTACTTTGTATCTCTCCATCCCCCGTCCGATCGATGTTTATAAACAATGTTACTTTGTATCTCTCCATCCCCCGTCCGATCGATGTTTATAAACAATGTTACTTTGTATCTCTCCATCTCCCGTCCGATCGATGTTTATAAACAATGTTACTTTGTATCTCTCCATCTCCTGTCCGATCGATGTTTATAAACAATGTTACTTTGTATCTCTCTATCTCCCGTCTGATCGATGTTTATAAACAATGTTACTTTGTATCTCTCTATCTCCCGTCTGATCGATGTTTATAAACAATGTTACTTTGTATCTCTCTATCTCCCGTCTGATCGATGTTTATAAACAATGTTGACTTTGTATCTCTATCTCCTGTGTGATCGATGTTTATAAACAATGTTACTTTGTATCTCTATCTCCCGTCTGATGGATGTTTATAAACAATGTTACTTTGTATCTCTCTCTCCCGTCTGATCGATGTTTATAAACAATGTTACTTTGTATCTCTCCATCTCCCGTCTGATCGATGTTTATAAACAATGTTACTTTGTATCTCTCTATCTCCCGTCTGATCGATGTTTATAAACAATGTTACTTTGTATCTCTATCTCCCATCTGATCGATGTTTATAAACAATGTTACTTTGTGTCTCTCCATCCCCCGTCTGATCGATGTTTATAAACAATGTTACTTTGTATCCCTCTATCTCCCGTCTGATTGATGTTTATAAACAATGTTACTTTGTATCTCTCCATCTCCCGTCTGATGGATGTTTATAAAACAATGTTACTTTGTATCTCTCCATCTCCCGTCTGATCGATGTTTATAAACAATGTTACTTTGTATCTCTCTCTCCCCCGTCTGATCGATGTTTATAAACAATGTTACTTTGTATCTCTATCTCCCGTCTGATCGATGGTTATAAACAATGTTACTTTGTATCTCTCTATCTCCCGTCTGATCGATGTTTATAAACAATGTTACTTTGTATCTCTCTATCTCCTGTCTGATCGACTGTTTATCTCCCGCCTGATCGAAACAATGTTACTTTGTATCTCTCCATCTCCCGTCTGATCGATGTTTATAAACAATGTTACTTTGTATCTCTCCATCTCCCGTCCAAACAGCATTTTATAAACACCCAAATCTGACAGCTGTGGTAATATAACCGGATATAACATTTATAGGGAAAGTTGATCCCGGAAATATCCGATTGCCTCTCGGGGGGTCAGGAAGGAATTTTTTTTCCCCGCTGGAACAACTTGATTGTGCTTCATTGGAGGTGTTTTTTTCCTTCCTCTCGATCAGGTGTAGGATAATTTCTATGGAGGTTTTCTATTTGTGTGGTTTTTATCTCCTCTTTTGATTGAACTGGGTGGACTTTTTGGTCTTTTTTTCAACCAGATTAGTTATGTAACGCTGACAGAAGATCAGGCCGTTGGGTTGGGTGACCACAGGAGATAAATGGATTCTTATAGTCTTCTCTTTATCCACCTCCCATCCGGCTGTTGTATATAAATGGCCTCCCCGCCCCCTGCTTGTGCGCGGTCCCTGGGAGCGCGCAGCACCACGATCCGGTGCCCACTGTGTCCTCCATACACAGTGGAACACCGATCATCGGACGGGATCTCCGTGTGAGGTCCCAATCATGTGATCACTGATTGGCCAATCAGTGATCACATGCAGAGTAGTAAGCAAAATGTCACTTCTGACATCATTGCTTACTACGTGTGAAATCTGTGAATGAACACAGAGGTCACATGGTACAGGGCTATTCACAACAGCCTTGTACCATGTGACAAGCTGTGACCAATCACAGCTCACTCAGTATTTCTCAATGACTGCAAGAATGCAGACAGAGAGAAAGAGAAATGATTGCTTTTACACCCTATATGGGTGTAAAAGCAATCAGTGTAAAAAAAAAAAAAAAAAATCTTCATCACCCCCCACAAGTAGTACAGTGTCACCATGGTGACACTGTACTGCTAGGGTGACAGTATGTAAAAATAAAAAATAAAAATAAAAAATAATATAAAAAAAATAAAATAAAAATGTAAAAAAAAAAAAAGTTTAAAAATTATAATGTTTGGTTATAAACTAATTTGGATTTTTTTTTTTTACTAAAAAAAATAACGGAATAAATTTTGGCCAAGATTTAGGATGAAATATTATTTATTTGCAAAATTTTATAAAAAAAAAAACCACTTTTTTTCAAAATTTTTGGACATTTTCATTTACATAGTAAAAAAAAAAAAATCTCAGTGGTGAATAAATACCACCAAAATAAAGCTTTATCTGTCTCAAAAAAATGGTAAAAAATTCATATGGGTACAGTATTGCATGACCGCGCAATTGTCATTCAAAGTGTGATAGCGCTGAAAGCTGAAAATTGCCCTGGACAGGAAGGGGGTAAAAGTGTCCGGACAGGAAGTGGTTAAAGGAAATCTGATTGTAGAGAGTCGAGAATTCGGCCCTGGAGAAAACAGAGAAAAAAAAAGTATGAAGAAGGAGGGCCAGGGTGGTAAAGGTGCCCAACGGAGCCAACTACCAAGTCTCAGCCTCAGCTGTAGTGATGGTACAGGACCCAGATTCCGGTGAGGGGGAAAAAAAGAGACACAACGATAGGAAAGGAAGGAAAAGTTAAGGAGAGAAGAGGGTCCCTGAGGGTTGATAGATTAGGTATGCCTATGCGGGTGTGTCACCGTGGTAAAAGCACCGACTCATCAAAGTCAGGGGGGGAGACAGTGTTTGATCCATGGCTGCCAAGTTGTCTCGAATTTCCCAATCTAGTCCTTTTCCAGGGCTTCCAGTTTAACGTGTATTGTGGTGCGATGCATTCTAGGCTTGGTCTCATCCCAAAATCAAAGATGGAGATCTCCGCGCCTTGGCCATGGTCTGTTTAGTGGCCGATCAGAAGCTGGATAAAAAGTTTAAACTGTCTAGGGTGCTGGATTCAGATTGAGAAGAGCAGCAGAGGGGTCCGGTTGGAGGGTGACCTAAAAGAACAGAGGCTGGTGCAAAGAATTCCTTCCAGAATGATTGGGCCACCAGACATTCCCACCGGATGTGCACAGGCCTGCCTAGTTTCTAGCCGCGGAAACTGATTGTTTTCAATTTAGTGATTCTAGTGGGCACTAGATACCATCTGGCCAAAACTTTGTAGTTGGCTTCCACCGCAATTATGTTGGGCGAAGAGGACTTGGTGGCTTGCCAAATCTCTGACCATTCAGTTGTATCGTGTGCCCGCTAGAATCACTAAATTGACACCAACCGACTCAGCTCTTCGTTTCCACGGCTAGGAACTCGGCACACCTTTGTACATCTGGTGGGAACATCTGATGGCCAATTCATTCTGGAAGGAATTCGTTGCACTAGCCTCTGTTCTTTTCGAGGTCACCCTCCAACCGGACCCCTCCGCTGCTCTTCTCAATCTGAAACCAGCGCCCTTGACAATTTAAAATTTTTATCCGGCTTTTCTTTAAACCGCACCGAGGCACCCCCCCGGGTCCTACCCTGGGAGAAAGACTTGGGCCACTCACTCGATACAGCTGAATGGTCAGAGATTTGGAAAGCCACCAAGTCCTCTTCGCCCAACGTGATTGCGGTGGAAGCCAACTACAATGCTTTGGCCAGGTGGTATCTAGTACTTTGTAGTTGGCTTCCACTGCAATCACGTTGGGCGAAGAGGACTTGGTGGCTTTCCAAATCTCTGACCATTCAGCTGCATCGAGTGAGTGGCCTAAGTCTTTTTACCAAGGTAGGACGGGGTGCCTCGGTTTGGTTCAAAGGGAACCTGATTGTAGAGAGTCGAAATAAGGCCTCTGCATGCTGAATTTTAAGCAGTTGATGGTACAGGTATGTCCCTAGAAATAGAACCCTTAACCAATGATGTCCTCACCCCAGTGGAGATGGGTGGGTTCTGTAAAGTCTTCTCTTTCACGGGTCTTCTGGGGTAGGACCTGTGCTACACTTGCCTTGTCCCAAGCTGGAAATCTTGTTGGTTTCTTGGCGTAAATGGCCCTTTATTAAGAAAAATTCAAGTATCCCTGTCTGTGTGGGACCATCTAACAAATCGGCAGGCGTGCCGGACTGGTGTGTCTAACGGTGATGTGGTCAATCAGACTCTTAATTTGGGGTTAAACTCCTCACACAAAACATCTGTCAGAAGGAAACGTCTATCCTGTAAAAACACAAAAAGCGGAAAGCGGCTCTCATTAAACAGCTGGAGAGGATGTCCTAATGGCCGTGTTGTGGCTGGTAGAGAGGCCTCTGGGTAATATCCCGTCTCAGGCCATTGTTTGGGTTATGGCCTTCTCCCAGGTGATCTATACCATAAAACACCCTCAAACCGCCAGCGCACCGCCACACACTGATTACCGCCTGACCTCCGACACCACCCCTGACCCGGGCGGGCGGGAGGAGCAGGTGGCCACTCATCAGAATTAAACCGCCACTTAGAGATAATTATTAGAACAACAAACCGCCACTAATGGAGGAGACGAGTCCAGGGGGACATCGGGGGGGGGGGGTGCAGGGGGACATGGTGGGGGGGACCTCCCTCCGCAATCAGTCTTCTTCCACTTATCTCTGCAGAGGAGACAGAAGACCCTTCAATTCATAGGGAGACCCGGGGGGGGGGGGGGGGACTTCCAGCTTGGTGCAGAATACAGGAATATCATATCATCTCCATCCACTATTCATCTATTGTATATCTATGTACACTATATTGCTGGAAGTATTGTCCCCGCCCTCCCAATCATGTGATTCAGGTGTTCCAATCCCCTCCATATCATGTGATTCAGGTGTTCCAATCCCCTCCATATCATGTGATTCAGGTGTTCCAATCCCCTCCAATCATGTGATTCAGGTGTTCCAATCCCCTCCATATCATGTGATTCAGGTGTTCCAATCCCCTCCATATCATGTGATTCAGGTGTTCCAATCCCCTCCCAATCATGTGAGTCAGGCGTTCCAATCCCCTCCCAATCATGTGAGTCAGGCGTTCCAATCCCCTCCAATCATGTGATTCAGGCGTTCCAATCCCCTCCATATCATGTGATTCAGGTGTTCCAATCCCTTCCATATCATGTGATTCAGGTGTTCCAATCCCCTCCATATCATGTGATTCAGGTGTTCCAATCCCCTCCATATCATGTGATTCAGGTGTTCCAATCCCCTCCATATCATGTGATTCAGGTGTTCCAATCCCCTCCCAATCACGTGATTCAGGTGTTCCAATCCCCTCCCAATCACGTGATTCAGGTGTTCCAATCCCCTCCCAATCACGTGATTCAGGTGTTCCAATCCCCTCCCAATCACGTGATTCAGGTGTTCCAATCCCCTCCCAATCACATGATTCAGGTGTTCCAATCCCCTCCATATCATGTGATTCAGGTGCTCCAATCCCCTCCATGGACACAGGCGTATACAATCAAGCCCCTAGACATGCAGACGGCTTCTACAAACATTGGTGAAAGAATGGGTCGCTCTCAGGAGCTCAGTGACTCCAAGCGTGGTCCCGTGATAGGTGGCCACCTGGGCAATAAGTCCATCCGTGACATTTCCTGGCTACTAAATATTCCACGCTCAACTGTTAGTGGGATTATAACAAAGTGGAAGCCACTGGGAACAACAGCCACTCAGCCACCAAGTGGTAGGCCATGTCACATGACAGGGCGGGGTCAGCGCATGCTGAAGCGCACAGTGCGCAGAAGTCGCCAACTGTCTGCAGAGTCAATAGCTAAAGACCTCCAAACTTGGTGTGGCCTTCAGATGAGCCCAACAACAGTGCATAGAGAGCTTCATGGGATGGGTTTCCATGGCCGAGCAGCTGCATCCAAGCCTTCCATCACCAGGTGCAATGCAAAGCGTCGGATGCTGTGGTGTAAAGCACGCTGCCACTGGACTCTAGAGCAGGGGAGACGTGTTCTCTGGAGGGACCAATCACGCTTCTCTGTCTGGCAATCCGATGGAAATGTCTGGGTTTGGCGGTTGCCAGGAGAACGGTACTTGCCTGACTGCATTGTGCCAAGTGTAAAGTTTGGTGGAGGGGGGATTATGGTGTGGGGGTGTTTTTCAGGGGTTGGGCTTGGCCCCCTAGTTCCAGTGAAGGGAACTCTTAAGGCGACATTTTGGACAATTTCATGTTCTCAACTTTGTGGGAGGAGTTTTGAGGATGACCCCTTCCTACTCCAACATGACTGCCCACCAGTGCACAAAGCAAGGTCCATAAAGACATGGAGGAGCCAGTTTGGGGTGGAGGAACTTGACTGTCCTGCACAGAGTCCTGACCTCAACCCCATAGAACACCTTTGGGATGAATTAGAGCGGAGACTGCGAGCCAGGCCTCCTCCCCCGACATCAGTGCCTGACCTGACAAATGTGCTTCTGGAAGAATGGTCCAACCTTCCCATAGACACCCTCCTAAACCTTGTGGACGGCCTTCCCAGAAGAGCTGAAGCTGTTATAGCTGCAAAGGGCGGGGCCAACTCAATATTGACCCTACGGACTAAGACTGGGGGTGTCAAGGTCCTACCTTTTCCCTGAGGTTATGTTACTCCATGTGCTGGCGTCCATCTTGGATTCTGCTGTGCATGGTGGGAATCCTTTTATGCCTTCAGGTCTGTGTGGTCCATCCCACAGAGGGGTGTGGCTGATGACATATAAGCCTGTGGCCCGCACATGCTCTTTGCACTTGTGTCTTGTGTCTTTGTGTTGCTATTACTCTGTTCTGACTCTCGTGACTCTCCTGGTATCTGATTCGGCTTGTGACTCGACTATTCTTTGTATTCTCCTTTGATCTGACCCTCTGTTGCTGAACTCGGCTCGTGACCTGTGATTCTCGTCTGCTGTCCTGTACTGGTTTGTCCTGTTGTTGACCCGGCTTGTCTGACTACTCTTTTGTCTCTTCCACCAGCTACACGCCATTGGCGGCGGCCATTACCGCAGCTGAGGTGTCTCGGGGGCCGCGACCTGGTTCCTGGCTGCGTCAAGTCCATCCCCACCATCAGGGGCCCTGGTGAAGGGCAGCCTGGGACTTAGACTCCGCGCCCTGAGGGACTTCGGTCTGTGGGTGGTGGTTGTCGTCAGCCAGTGCGTTACATTGTTAGGCCTGCCTGTCCGTTCCTCGGCCCCTGCCCTGACAGGGGTGCCATTAAAGGTCATGTGTGTGGAAAGGGCGGGGCCAACTCAATATTGAACCCTACGGGCTAAGACTGGGGGGCCATTAAAGGTCATGTGCGTGGAAAGGCCGGCAGACCAATATTGCGAGCAATATAGTCTATCTATCTATCTATATCTATCTATCTATTATCTATCTATCTATCTATCTATCTATTATCTATTATCTATCTATCTATCTATTATCTATCTATCTATCTATTATCTATATATCTATCTATATTATATCTATTATCTATCTATCTATCTATTATTATCTATCTATCTATCTATCTATCTATCTATCTATCTATCTATCTATCTATCTATCTATCTATCTATCTATCTATCTATATCTATCTATCTATCTATCTATTATCTATTATCTATCTATTATCTATCTATCTATCTATTTTTTTTATCTATTATCTATCTATCTATTATCTTATCTATTATCTATCTATCTATCTATCTATCTATCTATCTATCTATCTATCTATCTATCTATCTATCTATCTATCTATCTATTATCTATCTATCTATCTATCTATCTATCTATCTATCTATTATCTATATATCTATCTATCTATTATCTATCTATCTATCTATCTATCTATCTATCTATTATCTATATCTATTATCTATCTTATCTATCTATTATCTATTATCTATCTATCTATCTATTATCTATTCTATCTATCTATCTATTATTATCTATCTATCTATCTATCTATCTATTATCTATCTATTATCTATTATCTATTATCTATCTATCTATCTATCTATCTATCTATCTATCTATCTATCTTATCTATCTATCTATCTATCTATCTATCTATTATCTATCTATCTATCTATCTATCTATTATCTTTATTCTATCTATCTATCTATCTATCTATCTATCTATCTATCTATCTATCTATCTATCTATCTATTATCTATCTATCTATCTATCTATCTATCTATTATCTATCTATCTATCTATTATCTATCTATCTATTCTATCTATCTATCTATCTATCTATCTATCTATCTATCTATCTATTATCTATCTATCTATCTATCTATCTATCTATCTATCTATCTATCTATCTATTATCTATCTATCTATCTATCTATCTATCTATCTATCTATTTCTATCTATCTATCTATCTATTATCTATCTATCTATCTATCTATCTATCTATCTATCTATCTATCTATCTATCTATCTATCTATCTATCTATCTATCTATCTATCTATCTATCTATCTATCTATCTATCTATTATCTATCTATATCTATCTATCTATCTATCTATCTATCTATCTATCTATCTATCTATCTATCTATCTATCTATCTATCTCTATCTATCTATCTATCTATCTATCTATCTATCTCTATCTATCTATCTATCTATCTATCTATCTATTATCTATCTATCTATCTATTATCTATCTATTATCTATCTATCTATCTATCTATCTATCTATCTATCATCTATCTATCTATCTATCTATCTATCTATCTATCTATCTATCTATTATCTATCTATCTATCTATCTATCTATCTATCTATCTATCTATCTATCTATCTATCTATCTATATTCTATTCTATCTATTATCTATCTATCTCTATTATCTATCTATCTATCTATCTATCTATCTATATCTATCTATCTATCTATTATCTATCTATCTATCTATCTATCTATCTATCTATCTATCTATCTATCTATCTATTATCTATCTATCTATCTATCTATCTATCTATCTATCTATCTATCTATCTATCTATCTATCTATCTATTATCTATCTATCTATCTATCTATCTATCTATCTATCTATCTATCTATCTATCTATCTATCTATCTATCTATATCTATCTATCTATCTATCTATCTATCTATCTATTATCTATCTATCTATCTATTATCTATCTATCTATCTATCTATCTATCTATCTATCTATCTATCTATCTATCTATCTATCTATCTATCTATCTATCTATTATCTATCTATCTATCTATCTATCTATCTATCTATCTATCTATCTATTATCTATCTATCTATCTATCTATCTATCTATCTATCTATCTATCTATCTATCTATCTATTATCTATCTATCTATCTATCTATCTATCTATCTATCTATCTATCTATCTATCTATCTATCTATTATCTATCTATCTATCTATATCTATTATCTATCTATTATCTATCTATCTATCTATCTATCTATCTATCTATCTATCTATCTATCTATCTATTATATGGTGACACACGGTAAAGGTGGGACCCTCACATTTTGGATGCAGTAGAGGAGGATTATGGGTAGCAGGGTTAGAAGCGGAGTGCTCCTTTAAGGTGCCTCTGCCCATAATTGATGCTGAAGCTTCTGTGAATTATTCATGGTTGTTCCTCTGTGAGAAATGTCCGCGGTGCTGGGTGGGGGTGGGGGGGCGCAGATTGATGGTCTCTGGTCAGAAGAGCGCCATGTGTTAGCAATCTGCGCGTTGTGAAGCCAATCCGCCATGAATTCTATCACTTTCAATTAAGGGGGGAGATTGTGTTCGCCGAGAGCCCGGTTGATAGAGATCCTTCTGGCTTGTATATCAAAGAAATGGGGGGGGGGGATCGTGTAACGGGAGACGCGTGAATGATGATTCATTGGCTCCGCGCTTATCCAGGAGAAATTGTTCATCCCTCGCCCTTCTCCTCGCTGCACCACCTTCATTTGTTATCCCGGCAGATTCGTGGAGCGCCGGAGCTGCGGGCAATTTTCAGGCAGTAGAAAGATTATGCAGCAAATACTTTTCGGTTTTCCCAACCTTCGCGGCGGAGGAGAACGGTGCCAGCGAAGGGCTTGGACGTTCCTAAAATCACATTTATTTCTTACAGATGTCCGGATCGAGTCTCTGGAGCTTTTTTCGGGGGTCATCGGCGGGGAGATTGGCATGGCTCCACCCTTAATGCATGACAGAGTGAACTTTTCAAAGTAATGTGGAAGACAATTTTCTTTTTTAGTGTTGCGGATCTCCTGCGACCTCTTTGAAGCTACTTCCTGCCAACAGGGGACACCGGGGGACCATGCCTGTGTCATGTGGGTTGAAGGGGCCACTTGCCATCTCCATGGGAAGCCCATGTGGCAGGGTGACAACGCACCAGAGCAATTGGGAGATGGGGACAGAGCGTTGTCACCCTCTAAGAGGAAGTGCCTGAACAAAGATCTTCATAGCAGGATCATCAAGGATGATTTTAATGAAAGCTGTAGATTTACCAAGATTTAAAAACAAAAATAAAAAAAAACAAAACAAAATAA